ACGACGAAAGCTTGCATCGCCAGGGATCACCTGCGCATGCAGAATGCTAAACGCAAGTCAGCGGATGGGACAAAACAGGCCAGAAAGAAAAGACGAGCAGCCACCCGAACAAAAGGGGACAATACTGCTTTCACAGAAGGGCCCAGCTGTGAATCTGGTGCATTTTAGGCCTGCATGCGAAGATTGTGACCCTTTTTACAAGCTCGGAAATCTTTGTTTACGTTTTTCCGAAAGTAAAAATTTGCTCCAAATGTTGCGACGCAAACTTTCATAACGTATTTCTCAGCGTATACTTTGAACTGAAATTTTGCACAATGATTTACAATATATATATCTGTGCAGTGAACTAGAATAAAAAAAATCCATCGAATATTTTTCAGTTCACAGCTAAATTCTCCAACAGTTAGGGCTAAAGACGACTCCGATGACGAGCCATGTTCGTAGATCGTGCGCCCGCTTGTAGTAATCTGATTGTGCACCCGCTTACAGCTCCCAACTAAAGCGTAAGTATATCCTAAGTGATTGTCGAGACGCAAACACGTCACAAAGTAGTGATTTTCGAGAGCCATGTCCTCGTGAATCACAAGCAACAGACGACAATCTAATTGTGAGGCAAGCTGAGGCAACATGGCGGCCACAGCCAATCAGGGGCCCCGAAATGACCTTCAAACATTCGTTTTTTCTGCGCTTGTTTTTAAAGGGAGGGCCAGCTGAGGCAGAAAATTCTCTGTCTGATGAGACCAAGAAGCCGGCTCCTAGCCGCACCATTGCGAAGCTATGTATGATTTTTTGAAAATCGCTGCTTACTCGCGATTTCCAGAAAAAGCTTCGCTAACTAGGAGGGTGAAATGAATTTTCCAAAGGACTTCTGCACGGTTTTCGGTGTAGGCTTGCTCTTGTGCACAGGCTTTCAGTGTAGGCTTGCTCTTGAGCACAGGCTTGCTCTCGTGCCATGGTGCTCTGCTGGCGTAAGCGACGTCCTGAACGGAGCTCCAGGAGTTGGCTTTGGATGGAGAGAGGTCGAAGAGATCGGGAAGCACCTCCACCACTTGAAATACAACGGTTCAGCTGACGCTTTATTCAAGCACCAGCAAGATGGCGCCGATGATGAAGAAGAACGGGGCGAAGACTGATGATGGTTATTGACAGATGAGGAAGACGACGTCCAATGAATTCTTACAATATTTTGGAATCAGATAGAAAAAGAGTTCTAGAAATTGAAAACTTGATTTTCCAAAATTCGATTTTTTTTGCCTTTTTTTTTCGCAATTCCAAAGCCACGCCCCCCCTTAAATGTGCAACACTACCATCCAACAGATTGCCAAGTTTGAACTGCAATACTAAGCAGCTGACCAGGGTGGGCACTGGTGCGTCAGAACAAACTCAAGTGCATGTCTCTTCACAGTAGACATGGCCATGGACAGATCAGGGGCAGTATCTTGTAATACAGTAAACTCCTGTTAAGACAAACTCTTAATAATTGTTGGGGTTCAACATCCCAAAAACACCACATGATTATGAGAGATGCCATAGTGAAGGGCTCCGGAAATTTCGACCACCTGGGTTTTTTTAACGTGCACACAAATCTGAGCGCACACACGCATTTTTGCCTCCATCGAAAATGCAGCTGCCACGGCCGGGATTCGATCCCGCGAATGCGTATCAGCACCCAAGTGTCTTAGCCATTAGACTACCATGGCGGGTAAGATGAACTCTGTTAAGGCGAATTCTTGCTTCAGACCAACAGCATGGGAATGTTTGTTTGGTTTCTCATAGACTCAATGCAAAAAAAAAAATCTGCTTAAGACGAACCGCATAATGGGTCTCTCCTGTTAAGACGAACTATCACAGCGACCAACATTAACAGGAATTCTGCGCAACAAACATTAGTCTTGTGGGGGCATTCAGACGAGCAAGAGAAAGCAAAATGAAAGAAAAGATGATGCAAAGACTTTTCAAGGCAAATCAAAAGCGAACTGCGACGTGCAAGATGGAAGCAAGATGAGTAAAAAAGAAAGGTCAGCATATAAAGCTGGCATCTCCCTCACCCCTAGCCTGTAAGAGGAAAATGAGCCAGCTTCAACATCAAAGAAAGCAACAAAAAGCGTTAATCCTTATGTAATCTCCTCGCTTTCTTTATTTCCCCAACTGGAGTACAGTGGAGAACAGAAGAGCACAAGAGCTTGGCTAGAGGATCAAATGCAAAGGGAGGCAAAAAAAGTCAAATGAAAGTGAAAACTGGAACAATGATCTTCTGTACATTATAATTATATTAAACGGAAATGACATATACAGCTCTAGCACTCCCTTCAGTGGAGTCGGATGCATTGTCATCGCCGTCACACACTAGCGCCCAAGTGCATGATGTGGTCAGTTTTCGTTGTTCTGCTTAGGGCCTGTGCGCATCATTTCTTTTACCAGTGAAATGCAGCAAATTTTGATGCACCATTTTCATTATGGAAGTGCACAACAAGGGAAGGTCATTTTTCACACTAAATAAAGCTGCGTAGTGTCTTTCTTGTGTGCCCGAGGCTTGTGACCGTGAGTAGCGTTAACGGAGATCTTCAGCTGCACACTGTTCATAAAAAGTTACTGCGGGCTGAAAATAAAAAAATATCAAACTCAAAGAATAGACCCTTATAAGGTATGAGATGGAGGCGTATCCGAAAGTGATAGCAAAGCCTGTAAAACAGCCTCTCAGAAGGTAAACAGCCAGAAGAATGAATTTTCCATTATTTTTTTTAAGAAAAATTGTGCTTGTCTCTGCCTTTATGTCTTTTTCTAATCATCAAAATATGGTTGTGCTACAGTTTTATTGTTAAAATGTGGTAGCAATTTATTCATGAGCATATTTATTATGAACTCAGGAAATCGAGTACTAGTTAGGTTAGTGTAAATACACTCAAACGCCATTATAACAAAGTTGCATCTTACACGAAAATAAGTTCATTATATAAAAAATTCGTTATAAAGGTTTACTCTTATCACTATATCTATTGCAAGACTATTTTTTGCTTACTTCATTATAACCAATATTTTGTTATATCCAGGTTTGATATATCGAGGTTCGAGTGTACTCTACTTGAAAGCATAGTTTTTATAAAGCTGAGCCAAAGAAATGCTTTTGTTTTACCTTTCCTCCCCATTGTAAGCATACTCCATTCAGTGTTTTCAAGCAATACATTTGGGCGCACTTGACATGTTAGCATTTCGTTTTTGGGGGCATTTCTGATAAGCCAAACTCCTGATTAGACGAACAAATGATCGAGGTTCCTTCAAGTTCGCTTTAAAGGGAGTCTACTGCATAATTCAAGATGTCATTCCATTTTAGGAGCATCACACTAGATTGTGTCAGCCCATTTTAGTTGCACACTCAAACCGCAGCAGCACTGCAACTAGTGACCCTGGATGCAAGGCTGATGTCGTGCCTTCTTGCATCCAACTCGTCTAAACTTTTTTTTAAAATATGCAATCTTCAAGTTTTTGCTCCAAAAGCAGCAAAAAGCTAGCAGATCTGTAAGTACCATAATATATTTAAAGGGGCACTAAAGATAAACAAAGAGCTGTTTTGATAAAATGCCCTCTGAAAACTCTAAGTCGTAAGTTCATTATTAGCGGAGAAGATCAAGGTTGAAGTTTCATTTCTAAATTTTGTGCCATAATCTCCGTGCGCTACGTAGAAAATTCCACAATGTATTTTTTCTATTTTCGGGACATTAGCTCGATGACATTTTCTGAAACTTCATATGCTAAGTCTATGGCACCCACAGATTACAATGTACTTCAACTGTTTCGATTAGAACTCTCAAAATTTATGACGTCACAAGAGTTTGGTGTAGGAATCTCAAGGTGGTGTCTCAACCCCCAGTTTCTTTTCGCACATCTTTTCGCTTACCAAGCGTCCTCTCATGGTAAGAGTGGTGTTTTTGGGATTGTGAAATTGTACTTTACTAATAAATGTGTTTTGCTTTTAGTGCCCTTTCACACAGCCGGGCCACAATACATTCACAATATAATAATAATAGTAATAATAATAATAATAATAATAATAATAATAATAATAATAATAATAATAATAATAATATAATAATAATAATAATAATAATAATAATAATAATAATAATAATAATAATAATAATATACAAGGTTTTATGTCCCAAAACCACAATACAATGAGAGGAGCCATAGCGAAGCGCCCCAGAAATTTCAACCACCTGGTGTTCAATATAGTGCACTGACACCACACAGTACATGAACCTTCATTGAAACGCAACCACCATGGCCAGGATCAAACCCATGACCTTCATGTCAGCAGCCGAGCGCCTTGTAACCACTGCTCTACCATGGCAGACAACACATTCACAGCGACTCTAGATCAAGTACAGAAGTTTGAGGCACATGTGTTGCATCAGTGAGGCTCACAACAGCAAAGCGCTGCATCTTCACAGATGTGCAACAGATTTAGACAACACAAGTGAAATACTGCAACATGATTCACAGCAACCATTTACTGCCGTATTTCCGAACATGTGGCTGGTTGCAGCACGATGACTGTTAGTGGCAAAAGGAGATAACTTTCCGCGAGACATTCGCATCTCTTGTACTGAAATGCATCTCATCTATTGCAACTACTTCAAACTGCAAAACCCCTGCATATTTACAGACGACTCGCACCTCATTTGTTAACCCTCAAACCTGCGCAGCCAGGCACGCCCATTAAAGGTATCCTAAGATCCCAAGTCTTTTTGTGGGCACCGCCGAGCTGGCACAGTCATCGGGGAGTGCAAAATATGCAAGCAAATATTTTTTTAGTAAACCTGGCAAAATATTAGGGATGCGCAAATAACGAGAGTAAATACGATATGTCACCCCTTGGCAGGAAACAAGATCGCACATAAAAGAGAGTGCCAAGTGCATAACCTTTGAACACCAACATGACCGAGTATTTGTGTGCAGAGTACCATATCAAACATTATTTAAGCAAGAAGGTAGTAACTCACCAGACTTTTTGATAGCCATTGGGTGCATGGAGGCTTGAGGCTTCAGGCACAGTGTCAGCTTTTGGGTCACCCGAAATTCAGCCTTATCTTGCTTCTCGAAGTGGGCCCTGAATTTAGGTTCAAGAAACCAGTGATGTGATTGACCCAAACTACTTTGACACAGCTTCTGGGGCCCACAAAACCTCACTTTGGAGTTTTACGGATCAGCCTTTTGGAGCAGTTGCACGTCACACATTTTCAAACACAACCTTTTATTTATTGTTACTAAGCACGAGTAGTTTTACCATGTTTAACAAGATAAATATGTGCACACATAAACGTTGACCTAACATTGAAAAGACAAGCACCGGATGAGAAAAAAAAACTGTTCAATTAGACAACCTCATGCATCGCAGCGAGAATCACCCCATAAACTACTATGTGCATTAAAGTCTTCAAGGGCCAGATAAGGCTCAGGTAGCTCATCTATCAAGGACTGAAATTCTTGTTTTTCAAAGCGATACAGTGGCGGTATGTAAAAAGAGCAGATGGTGACGAGTTTGTTCAAAAGAACTATGCGAATAGCCACTGCCTCAAGGGATGTTTGTAGTGGTAAATGTGTACATGCAACATCCTGATCAACTATAATGGCCACCCCACCAGATGATGCTATAGCGTCATCACGATCCTTTCTGGATGTTACATACGACGTAGGAAATTGGTGTTCTTGGAATTTAAGTGTGTCTTGTACACACAGCACTTTTGGAGAATGTTTGTGTAAGAGTTTCTGGATATCATTGAGGTTTCTAAGCAGTCCTCTGACGTTCATTGTATAATTTATGTATCCATTATGAGTGTAAATAAGTGCTGTGTGTACTAAAAGAACTATTGCATTAATCAGGAGCCCTTGTCAAGCCCAGTGATGATGGCTTTTGACTTTCTGGCGCACTCCAAAGAGCCGCGCCTGTCCTTCGCACCTGAAGACACCGTTAGACTTGCTGTGGTGTCCATCACCTCGGAGGAGGCGCTGGATGCCCACTCACGGTTCATGCGTGCGGACACGGAAGTCCTAGGGCTATCTTTCAAAACAGAAGGCCCTGGAACTTCAGGTCCAGAGGCCTGCAAGCCTTTTGGTGGCGGAAGAGCCTGTGCTACTTCTGCAGAGAGGGTGAACGGCACTGCCGCCGGTCCACTTTGCGTGGTACGTGAGGGCGTTGCAGATTTTGGTGGCACTTCCCCCTTTCGTGCCACCTCCGCGAAAGGAAGACCCTGCAAAGACAGACACTTGCACGCCTCCCTAAACGAGATGTTTTCATTTACTTTGAGTGTAAGTATTTCTATTTCATGTTTCAATGTAGGACATGTGCGGAAGTAAGCGGGGTGTCTACGGTCGCAGTTTGCGCAGTGGGGAGTTTCTTCTTTGCAGTTGTCTGTGGCGTGTTCGTGCGAACTACACTTTGCGCAGGTTTGACGGCTACGGCAGCTCCGAGAGCCGCAGCCGAAATGCTGGCACTTAAAACGTCGGGGGCTGGGGATGTAGGGTCGGACCTTTAACTTCAAGTAGCCTGTTTCGATATGCTCTGGAAGTGTGCTTGTGCAAAATGTAAGAATGAGGTGCTTTGTCGCGGGTTTCTTTGTTGTCACGCCTGATCTTAATTCTTTGTCCATGTGCTACATGCTGTTCGTTCCAGCCCTCAAGGAGCTCACTCTGTCAGGTTAATTAGGTCTTGACAAGATACTACGCCTCAGGAACTGTTCAGGGAACGATAGAGTGTGATGGACACAGGTGTGCTTCAAAAAGAGGCGAGTTTTGTCAGGTTTTCATACTGGACCTTGCTTTTAACTTCAAGAAGAAGGTCGCCACTAGCCATACGTGTAGCCTCATACCTCGACCAAGGGTATTGGTGATATATTTCAAAATGATAAAAGAAGAGATTGTTCTTGCATTCTTGTGTTTCAAAGTGAATCACATGAAAGGGCGGGAAAATTTCTTTTGGCTTCAAGAATACATTCAGTGTTGCTTCGATGTGCCCCTCCTTAGGGGGAGGGCGATCAAACAGTTTGGGGAATAGAAAAGAGGCCATACAGTATATGTAAATTCGGCAGCCATGCCAGCCGCCCACCACGAAGGGGGACGCAGCAGCACAATTATCAAAAGGCATGCCAACGCCAGCTGTACAAAGCCACTAAAGCCCTATTTAATGTGACCAAGAGAGGACACATACACAAGGTTAACCCTCGCCGCCTGGAAGATGGAAGTAAACAGAAGTGAGATGACAGGAAAGATTGAAAGAGGGAAAGAGACAAAGATCAGGGGAGAGAGAGAGACAGGAAAAGGCGACTGCCAATTTCTCCTGAGCGTGTCAGCCCAGGGTGCGTCTAAGTGAAGTCGAGGCCAAAGAGGTGTGTTGCCTCCGCCATGGGACCTTAAAGGTCCCATCAACCAGCATCACCCAGCATTTCTTGACTTTGCTAAAGCGTTTGATAAAGTTAACCATTCCCTGCTCTTATATAAACTAAGTGTTCTAAAAATTGACCCTGCAGTTTTTAACTGGATTCGTGCATTCCTTTCTTCTCGTGTTCAATTTGTCAGCACTAACGATGTTAATTCTTCCACTGCACCGGTTGATTCTGGGGTTCCTCAAGGATCAGTACTTGGCCCCCTGCTATTCCTAATCTATATAAATGACTTACCTTCTACTATTAATTCCAAAATTTGTTTGTTCGCTGACGACTGTGTGATTTACCGTAAAATATCTAATGACAATGATATTCCTTCTCTGCAGGCTGATCTCAATAACATACTTCATTGGTGTCATATTTGGAAAATGGAACTAAACATTCAAAAATGCAAGTCTATGAAGATTTCTCGGTCGAGTACAACTTGTCCAACTTGCTTTCTTCACAGTCACCCCCTTGAAACTAACATCTTACCGGTACCTCGGTGTCCACGTAACTAACACTTTGTCCTGGAAATTACATACAGAACATATAGCGTCCAAAGCTAATAAAACACTGGGTTACCTTCGAAGAAACTTCTTTCTTGCTCCATCATCACTAAAGTTATTACTATATACCACATACGTTCGTCCTCAAATGGAATACGCTTCATCTGTTTGGGACTCCGGTCAGGTAACATTATCACACATGTCGGAATCCGTTCAAAATCGTGCAGCTCGTTTCATTTTGGCTAACTACCATCGTTCAGCTAGTGTCACTCAAATGAAGGCATCTCTAAACCTCATCCCACTAGTTACCCGCCGAAAGCGCACTCGCATTTGCCTGTTTCATAAAATGTTCTATCATAATCTGAAACTCTGTTCCCGTTCAATCCAAGCTGCTCCCTTCATTTCTCTTCGCCGTAATCACAAACAAAAAGTCACAGTCCCCCATTGCAACACAGTAACATATGCCCAATCATATCTCCCAAGAACTTGTAATGAATGGAATTCCCTGCCTGCATCAATAACAAGCATCAATGAACCCATTCAATTTAGGAATGTCCTTAAAACAATGATTATCTAATTACCCCTGTATGTTTGTTCAACAGTTTATTTGTATTGCTTTGTGCCTTCACCATGTAATAAAAATAAAATTTGTGTGATCATTTGCTTTATTATGATGTGAGTTTTAGGAGTAATAATCTTTGTACTCCAATTAGTGACAACATTTTTATGCCATTTGCTTTGTATTCCTTGTTTTTTTCATTCTTGTGCATGCCCTTCCCCTCTGAAATGTACTGTGTACCCTGAGGGTAAAATAAACAAACAAATAAATAAATAAATCAGCTCCACCCCCCAGGACCCCCTTTTCCCCAGACATGGCTCAGCCACGCATGGCTAGGCGTAGGAGGGAGGTCGAAGCCACCCTGTTAGCTCGGGTCCGTCGTGTGGCTACGCACCACATGCCTGCTTGTGCAGACGCCCTTGTGGGGTAGGTGGCAAGCGCTCGGTTGGAGTTGCAAATATAACATCTCAAAAGATGAAATTGACTCGCTCCTGGTTTTCCTGAGGAGAGCACTGAATTTCTATATGAGAGACATCAGGTCAACAGACATTTCCTCATGATACACTTCCCATTTGTTAATCAGAGTGGCTTTTCCTGATGCTTCAAGCTACACACGTTTTTTATGCCAAAAAGAACTATTGCGAAGACATACACACTTTCAATGCAATCTAGGTGTTCAAGTGTCGTGAAGTACATGCTACTGCACTTTACGACAGACTCGTGAAGTTTTTGGTTGATTGGTTATTAAACGGACCCTAAAATAGTCATTGAAGTGACTTTTTACTTTTTGGAGCATGCTTTGGAGCAGGAAAGGTATTTAGAAGCCACAGTTGGGGCTATTTTGCACAAAGAAATAATGACATAAGCGTGTCTTCCGTCGTTATTTCATTGTGCAAAATAGCCATAACTATGGCTTCTAATTGAACATGAACCGACTAGCTTCAAAACTCTTATTTCTAGGAAATGTTCTGCTTTGAAACAGCCCTAAGTGTTTTCGGGGCAGAAAAAATGCTAGTTTGTAGCAGCTATTGGTGTTTTAAGGGCAGATACTAAATTTACCATACATAATATGAGTTCTAAGCATTGCTGAAGCATACTGTAAATATTATTATTCATTATGAAATATATTTACAGACAATAATCAATGTTGATTTCTTGATGCAAACAATGGCAGTTTGTCAAAAATGTGTTGCAAAACGCACAACTTAACATATATTCGACACTCGTTAATTCAAACTCAAAAGGGACCTCTGAATTTTGTTTGAATTATCAGAAGTTCTCAGATATACATACTTCACAAGTTAAAAGATTCTGAATCCCGGAGATGTCCGCACCTGGGGGAGGGGGTTGCCATGCTGATTATCCCCCTTTTTGGCACCAAAAGAAAAAGAAATACATCACGAAAAACAAGAGGGAGGGGGGGGGGTCCAATCGCAAGCCTCGGTGTTGCAGTCTCATAATAGCTCGCAGTGGCCGTACACACGAGAGTAGGGTTTTCCACTAAAGTGAGTGTGTCAATGTGCGAGCGCAAATAATGATTGATTGATATGTGGGGTTTAACGTCCCAAAACCACCATATGACCATGAGAGACGCCATAGTGAAGGGGTCCTGAAACTTCGA